ATGCCATGACCAAAGATCAAGACAAGGAGAGCAGACAAAGCAGACAAGCAGTACAGATACGATGAAACTGAAGCAGAGCAGCATGTAGGGTTCATGGTCTATGGGATGCAGAGGCAGGCCAGAGAGGTTGAGAGGCTATGGACTAGAGAGAAACATGACTGCTGGCTGAAGGTGCTTAGACCAATGACTGCATCCTTAATATTTTCTCATTCTGACTTATGGAAACCCATTAATTTCCTTAACAAACATCTATATTGATGAGTTGTATCAGTAAATTCTGCAAGGTCATTGAAACAAAATATTAAACCAAAAAGAAGAGTGCTGTGGATGAATGCCTGGGTCTAAGTGTGAATGGGTGTGAATAAGGTAAATAAAGATGAAGGATGGGAGTTTGGAAGTTATGTCTGACATCTGCCTAAGGGCAACAGGCTTTTGGCTGGTTAAGGAGGAGTTAGATTCTCTTTCTCCCTTGTATAGTCAAAGAAGTTGAGATGCAGAGTCCATGTCATTTTCACACCTCTAGGTAGTCTATTAGCATTAACTTTTTCTTAACTAAGATGCTTTAAGTGTTCAATAGCTTTAATAAATTTCAACCAAGTATTAAAATTCCAGATTTAAGATTTAGTAATGAAGGAGTTCTGCCACGGAAAGCCTTCAGTAAAACTAGACAAAGCTTGAAGGTGTCATACAAGACAAAGAAAAGAAAGAAAGAAATATGAAGGGGTATCCCAAAAAAAGCTGTAATTTTATTTTTCAAAGCTATGTGTTTAAATTTTTTTTTATAAAATTACTTTATCACCTTTGAAAGTAATCTCCATTACACTTAATATATTAGTCAAATCTGCAACCCCATTCTTGTAAACATTTTTCTAACTCCTCTGTTTGGATGGCCCCCTCGTTTTTTTCACCTCTTCTACATTGTCAAATCGTTGTCCTTTCATGTCCCTTTTCATTCGTGGAAACAAAAAGAAGTCTCACGGAACAAGGTCAGGCGAGTCATGTGCATGGAGGGAGAAAGGCAATGGTGGTTTTTGCCAAAAACTGGCACACTGAGATATCTACAGGCACAGGTGCATTGTTGTGGTGGTGGCAAAACCTGTCCCTCATCTGCTACAAATCAGGTTTTTCTGAACTTCTAAATCAAATCAGCAGTTCTCAACCTGTGGGTCACAACCCCTCTAGGGGCTGAACAACCCTTTCACAGGAGTCACCTGATTCATAACAGTAGCAAAATTACAGTTATGAAGTAGCAACAAAAACAATTTTATGGTTGGGAGGGGTCACTACAACATAAACTGTATTAAAGGGTCACTGCAGCATTAGAAAGGTTGAGAACCACTGTTCTAAATAGAAAGCTTGATTAACAGTCTGACCTGGTGGAATTAACTTCAAATACACTATGAGTCAACATTTTTGTCCCTTCTGGAAGTTGACGTTGTTCAGAACAAGGTTTGTCATCAATCAACATTTCACCTTTTTAAAATACACACTTTTTTGCCCATAACGCTATCCTTTTAAGTTGTGTTCAACACCACAAGTTTCAGTGGCATTTTTCCCGAACAAAAAACAATATTTCACAGCTGCAGGCTGTTATTAAATCAGCCATCACAAAAAAACGAGGTTTGAGGGAAACTTGCTTTTACGAAAAAAATTCACTGTGACCAGAGAGAACCTTCCCAGGCAATGCCACTGGGTGCACTAATTCAGAGAGTTGCTAGATGCTCACCTAGTGAGAAACATGCATACTATGAAAGCTCCGCCCAGTGGAGCTTTTTTTCCAATTTGTTTTGGGTACCCTCTAATGACAGGGGGAGGTGCTTAAAATGAAAGGGGAAAGTACAGAAATGTACTCCATATCAATTTCACTCTCCAATATTGAAATTTTTACTTCAGTCTCATAGATACATGTATGTATATGTGTGAGTTTGAGTATTTGTTTATTGAGATAAGAAATGGAGTAATTCTATTATCATATGAATAGGGCAATTGCATATGCAATTTATTCAATTAAGTGGTATGACATAGATGAGTGTTGCCATTCTTTTCCTGTTACTATTTTAAAGATTTAAATCATTCAACTAAGTCAACCAAGTTATTTGGCTTTGAAAAACACTAGCACAACCCTATCTTCTAATTCCTTCTTAAACTTATACTTACAGTTGGAGCAGGAGCCATAATGCTCATTGGTACAGGAATCATCGGAGTCCCTTTGGAAAAGGAAAGAAAAAAAGATGAGTTTTAAAAATACTGTAAATATTGTAACAGATTACCATATTCTGTAACAGCTACAATTTATACAAATATCTTTTTTACTTATGGCTAATAGAAATATATAACTAATAAAAATAGGATTATACCTGTCTTTAAGAAATAATACGTTTATCAAGTGAAAATATACAAATTTATATGGAACAAAAAACTATTCTGAATGTAAGCTATCGCACACAAAAGATAAAATTCTTGACATTTTATCAATTCATATTTATCTGGTTCAGCAGGTCCTCAAAACCAGCACCTTGCATAAATACATATTAATTTACAGGTGTGTACAATGGTATTAATCATTGAAAGTATCAAGTGAGAAATTCACCTTCAAACCTAAGAATAATTTCACTATTTCTAGTTCAATAATACCGTACATACTCTAGTATAAGTCAACCCGAATATCAGCTGAGGCACCTAACTGTACAAAAACTGCATTACAAATGTGCTAAAAAATTTGGCTTATACACATGTACATACAGTAATTAGAGATTTATATACTATTTATATAGAGATTTAAAATATATACATTTTAAATGCTTGTACATCTATCTGAAAAGTTATGAAATCATGGTTCAAGTCAAATTCAGCAACAAGTTACAATTATTATGTAAGACTAATAAGTTCTTAGCACTATGCCTTAATATATTTACAATAGATGCATGTTTTTCAAAGTATGACTTAGAAAATCGTGTCAATAAGTCTATAGAAAACTGTACAAAGTAGAAAAAGACTTCCTTTTAAACCTGAATTCATTTCTTGATTCTGTCGTTTTGCATCATACACTTTAGGCCAGTTCTTTATCCTTAGTTTCTTCCATTTCCATTCCCTTAATTCTACTGAGGTAATTCTATCATCAAAGTGTCTATGGGGGATTGACATAATTTATGTGAGCACTTTCAGGACACTGGATGTCACACTCTAATCAACTCACATCTACAATTTCCATAACTTTGAAGAAGAAAAAAAATATATATATATATCTACTCCCCCAAAAAATTCTATTAAAGAAAATATTAGGGGAAAGGGCATGCTGAGATTTTTTTTCCCCTACAATGTAAATAAATCTGCTAAAGTGGACAAAGAACAAAGAGCACCAAGTGTGTAAGGTATGTATGTTACCACTTGTGTTCTTGGCAAAAGGGGGAGCACAGCAAACCTGCTGGGCTGTGCACAGCCCATCCCGAGAGCTACACATTAGAAATTGTTAAGAAAGGCTGTCTTTGGGAAGGAACTATGGAATTGGAGGGTGTTCATAGACTTCTTTTTATCAATATGCATTTTTTAAGGAAAACTTACAACCATTTTTCAAAGTTATTTTCTAACTTAATACAAGGGGGTTTACAAAAGTTCATGGAGATAAAAGAACAAAAATTTCCACAAATTTTTTTAAAGATCCCACATACATACCATTGCCACCTACGTTATCTTATTCAGTATTCAATCAATTGCATTAATAGAAAAGATGAGAAAATTACACATGAAGTATTACAATTTTGAACTCTAGAATATTATTTCATTCATTATCTGAGGTTATACACAGAACGTAGATGGCAACCAACCTACCACTACAACTAGAGTGCCATTTATCACAAGTATGGTTCCCTAAACTGCTTCATATTGTTACTAATGAATTCAAAATCACAGTAACATTCCATTCTGTGAACAAAGGCCCTTAAGAGTTCCACCAACCAAATACAGTGACAAATACTATCTCATTTTACAGTGTGCTGACCAATCTTAACTAGCCTTAGAGAAATACGCCCCTTGCTTTCTATTTCCTTTCATACTTAAGACTATGGTGTTCAGGCACCCTTCATGTCTAGAATTGAACTCATACCTGTGATAGTTCAACTTTTAGTCAAATCATGGGACATACCTATAAGGGAAACAGTAACACTAGGGAAGTTATATACTCCTTAGTACAACCAACCATTTGAGATCAAAAGGGCGGCATTTACCCAAAAACAAAATTCAGAAGGGTTGGGGGAAAGGAGGAATGGGAATGAGAAGCACAGGGAACAAATGATGTTACATATGGGAATTTCAGTCATTGAGAGAAAACAAAATGTATATGAACTATTGAATGAAAAAATGACCTGGAAAACAATAAAAAGGTCATTTTATGTTTGTTTTTGTTTTTCTCAATTCAAGAAATAGAGATTTAAAATAAAACACTATCAATAAACTTACCTGGAGGTACAGGTGGAGGAAAACCAGGAAACTGTGGGGGTGGGATCCCTGGTGGAAGTGCTGGGATTCCCATGGGAGGGCGATTCAAATGAGGGGGGAAAGACATTCTTACTGCAGCGTTCTAAAAAAGAAACCATGACAAATCATTTTATTTGAAAACTTTACTATTCATATGCCTGGCTTGTTGACCTTCATTTTTTAGAGTATCTGCAAAAATCTAAAGTTTTCTTACCCAAAGTTGTTGGCAAAGACCCTCTTTTCTCTGTCTGTCCATTGAGAATTTTTAAAACTTAGATCTTTTCTAAAATAAGTTCCCAAAATGTACACGATCTAAGTTCAGGATAGACTCCTACAATCATATGGGATACATATAAAGGAAGAAAAAATTTTTGAAGTTGTTAATATCCAAAAATTAAATGCCAAACATTAATGAATCTTTTCAAATCAAATTCAGACTCCAGGATGGTATCTAACATTTTTTTAAAAGTGTTCTGATGCACTCATTTTTCTAATACCCACCAACACACTGAAAACTAATTTAAAATGTTATAGTGTTCATTGATTTAACATGGACAGTTCCTCAAGAACAAATGTGTTCCTCCAGTACAGAACTAAGGAAAAGAAAAACTGGACACCAGGCCACAAAGTAACACTCAAACATAAACAGCTACATAACTGATGGTGATGAAGAAAAGTGACTATTTTAAATTAAAAGCAAACCTCTTAACCATTCATGACTCCAATTCAAGAATCATATTGCTACCATTTGATTTTTTTAAAGTCAAGAATATTAAGTTTAATTTGTCCTTGCATTACTTAAATGAAATGTAATTTTGTATTTTAAACAAAGTATTTAAATCTTCTTTCCTCAAAATGTTATTTTTGTCAACAGATACCAGAATCTAAAACTACTGGGGAAAGCAAAAAAACTGTTAGAATGTTCTAAGAGGATCATCTATACCAATCAAAAGAAAAGTCAAACAGGTAGGTTAACCTCTTTATTGGTGACCCTAATGCAATTATTGATTTGATCAACAGAAGATATTTGACACTTGAAAATTCCTACCTATATTCCAAAACAGGAGCTCTGGTGGTTGAGTGGTTATGAGTTAGGCTACAATCCCCATGGTCCCCAGTTTAAAACCACCAGCAGCTCCTCTGGAGAAAGACTGGGTTTTCTACTCCAGTGAAGTTAGTCTGGGAAACTCACAGGATGTCGCTGAGTCAGCATTGACTCAATGGCAGCGAGTATATGCCATACCTAAAGAGGTCTAGAGATGTTTCTCTTCTTTTTTGCGTTTTATAACACCCTTCAGAAGAGATAAGGTAAAAACATTCAAGTTTTCCACGTACATGATTATAAAACTGTATTATCTACAGTTGATACAAGGAGCCCCAGGTGGGCCTGATGATTGAATGTTCAGTTGCTAACCAAAAACTCTGCAGTTTGAACCCAGCAGCTGCTGTGTGGGAGGAAAGATGTGGCAGGCTGCTTCCAAAAGTCAGAGCCTTGGACCCTGTAGGGCAGTACTACTCTGTTTTATAGGTCTGCTAATGAGTCTGAACAGAATCAATAGCAACAGTGGGGTACAGTTTGATATATTAACTCCAATTTTCTAGGTATCTTTCTATTTACAAACAAATATATAATGTTTGGGGGCAATGTAATCATATTGTATTATTACATGCAGTTCTTCCTCATTATCATTTGCATGGCTTTGCTTCATGTCATCTCAAAAAACTAGTGCATTCTTTGTAATGCTGTAAACTATAACACAAGCATACAATAATTATGTAAGCAACAAAGATGGTTGCTTCCATTTTTTAGTTCTTACAAATAATGTTGAGAATTCTTGGACATAACATGTACAGAATCCTATAAACTTGTGCAAGTATTTCCATAATACACATTACCTTCAAATCATCCTCCAAAACGTTTGTAGAAATTTATATCCCCTCTACCAGTCTATGGGTATGTCCTTTCAATCATATTCTTACCATGACCAACAGTCAAATGTTTCAAGTCTAGCAATGTTATAGATTAAATGTTTTAATGTGCATTTCCCTAAATTACTAGTAAATTATCTAGTTACCTATTAATCATGGCTTTAAAAGTCCTAGAAAAACATTCTGTCATTCCCCTAACTGTTCTTCTTCAGAGAGTTTCTTTGAGTTAATGTGTTAGGATAACTCAATATTCTAAAATTCTAAATTTCAATTTTATTAAAAACAGCATAAGTAAAATATTCAAAAATCTTTACAGATAAAGAAGTTCCTAAAATAATTTCACATACTTAGCAAATAAAATACTAGAAATAAAAATTTTTAAATACAATTAGGATTATATGTGTTGTTTTTTAATATTTTGTCCAAAATATGAAAACAAATATTCTATATGAAAGGGGAAGGATTATATCTGCCTTTTAAAGTAAACAAAAAGGGCTACTGTCCTACTACTTACAGAAGCTCTTGTATTATCATTATAATACTCTATCTCAGCATTTTCTTAGATGGGCAGTTGGTTTTAATACCTGTTGAATAAATAATCAGTGAATGAATCAACACACAAACTGTGAGGACCTCATTAATCAAATTTATTAAGCTACTATATGCTAGTTAATTACTATGATATCAATAACCCAAAGTCTAACTTCTGTTATTTTCAAAGTCATGAATTCAGCTTTAGAATTACTTTTAACTCCCATTAGGATATTAAAAAATAATAACTCTGGTCTTAGTGTTTCTACTGCATTTCAAGGTTTTTAAATATGAACATATGAACCAACCCTGTAGTCTTTTAATTTCAAGGTAAATACATGGTTCATGATAACAAATGAGTGCTATTTGTAACACAAAACAAAACATTAGTAGTATCTACAAGTGTTTAATGTTCCTATGGGTTGAAAGGTACAAGACAAACATTTGCCTGTTACATACAAATCATACCTAACTATTCCCAGCTTATCCACAAAGTTGACTTAAAGTAAATTTAGGACTAGAATGAATTCATAATCTGGGGACTACTGGTATTTAATTTATTCAATAAAATTTAACCAGATTATAAACATTCAGTTTTGGCAATATGCCTACTTCATTTGCTTTTAATTTTTCTATGCAAGGTTTCTTTTCATTGGAGCTACTCAACACTTGCTCAATATTAAGGTAAACCTCAAAGATGAAAGTAGAAATTGACTAGTTAATAGACTATTATATGAAAAATCAAATAATGACCATTTACGTGGGAATTCAAAAATACCACATTTCTAGTGATCTTTAAAAATATGAGCTAAAAAAAAATATGAGCTTAAAAAACAAAAACAAAAAAAATGAGCTTAATTTAAATATCCTAAAATGAATTACCAATAACATTTCAATATAAAGTTTTATATTTGGGGGCATATGTGAAAATCATTAAGAATAAACTTTCATAGCCATCAGTAAAGCTTATCAGATTACCTATAGATGATAATTAACACCATATTATTATATAGAAATGAGAAATTGCTTAGTGCTTTTGGGAAAAATAAATCAAGGAAGAGAGCTAGGAAGTAGCTTCTTTTATATAGTTGCCATAGAATTGCTGTATGTTTGGCATATCTTCCCAACAATAATTTTTTTTTTGAAGCTAGTTGAACATTTTCCATGGAAAAAGATACATAATGAAACAACTGTGCTTAAGATAGAAAAGTTGAAAACTACTAAGAGGCTAAAATACAGTCTGAATATTAATTATAAAAAAGTCTTTCCTTACATTACATTCCTTCATGTCCGAATTAATTTCTGGGGAAAGATGAGAATCATTTAATTATGAGCCAGAATTTACTTACTTTAACTTATTCCAAATTACACAATATTTTAAAGAGTTAGATGGGAAAATGTTTTTGCCCATGATAAAGTATATCTTCTGCACAAAGTGGCTTCAAAAGTTCATAGAAAAATTCCATTATCTTTTAATTACACTTTTCCATAAACATTTTGAAGCTCTTTCATATATATCTATAGATTTTAAAATTATTGTTTTCAAAACTGAGTTACACCCAAAAATATTTGTAAAAATGCGTTAAGTTATGACTTTTTGTTGTTGTTTGTTTTTTAAATCATTTTATTGGGAGCTTGTACAATTCTTATCACAATCCATACATCCAACCATTGTGTCAAGCACATTTGTACATTTATTGCCATCATCATTCTCAAAACATTTGCTTTCTATTTGAGCCCTTAATATCAACGCCTCATTTTTCCCCTCCCTCCCCAAGTTATGTTTAATAAAATAGACATCAGGTGAACACATTACTTAAATAAATAAATAAATACAATAGTCAGACTTCACCCAGAGGGTGACATCTGAATAAAAAATTTAATGAGGCCATGTATCTGAAGAAGACCCTTACAAGCAGAGGAAAGTACAAACACAAAGAACCTGAAGTTGTCAGAGAGCGTTTGGAAGAGAACCATCAAAGCCATAACTGGAGATCAAGGACAACAGTATGGTTAAAGGGAGTGAAGCAAAGGAGACAAATGCTGAGTATTAATTGGAGAGGCAGTTCTGAGAGAATAGAGTTTAATAGGCCACAGCAGGAGTTTTTGGTTTTCTTTCTGAAAGGTTTTGACTTGACTTGTATTTTAAACATTTTTAAAAGTATGTGAAGAAGAATTGGGGGGGGGGCAGAGGCAAAAGTTAACATTTGGGGAATCTGAATGAAAGATACCCGATGGACTAAAATTGGGGAGGAACAAGATTCTACAAAGCTACTAAATAATCCAGGGGGGAAAATGGTGGCCTAGTAATGACAGTGGCAACAAGTGGTTGGATTGTGGTTGTGCTCTAAACACAGACAACAGAATTTGCAAAGTAAATACTGAAGTAATATAAAAAACATTTTTAAAATGTAAATTTAAATAGTTCAAAAAATTTTTACCTGCCAAGGTATGAAACGCTATAGTCCAAAGTAATGGAAGCACTCCATATTACAAGTTTGTGGTCACACACGGGGGCATGCACTTGTCAAAACTCATCCAACTTAAAATGAGTGCATTTGAATTTTGTTGCAATAAATTTGGTTTAAAAAATTATTTATACTCAGAACATATGGATGTGTTTTGTTTTTATTTTTATTTATTTTTATTTTTAAATCATGCTTTCCAACTATTTTTCCCTCCACCTCTGAAAATAGCATAGGATACAAAAATACAGCAAGTTTCTGTGTATAAGGATTATTCCATTGCACTTTTCCAGCTAACTACGTCATTCCACAGGAGAAAAAAGAGGCTTTCTACTCTATCCAGAGTTAAAGTCTTGAAACCCACAGGGGCAGTTCTACTCTGCCCTATAGAGTGGCTATGAGTCAACATCAGCTTGATGGCAGTGAACTCAAGTTTTGATATGAAATTATAAAGTCTAATAACTAAATATTCATTATTAGATTAATATGCGCTGTTTCCTATTCTGCTCTTAGAGCCTGCTAGGTATTGTATACTGGAAGCTAACCCTAGTCTAAACAAAACAATTCCTTAAGTCACTTCCGAAAGTGAATTCCCACAAAACTTCAGTTTCTCTCTGTAGCTATTCCAAGAAAAAGATACACTTTGCCCAAAGAAGAAAATGTTTGATTAGCCCAAACAAGTGGCATGAAAATAACCCAGTGCTTTTAATCTCCTCAAAGGGAGATGGCTCTTTTTCTGGAAGAATTCCTTTGCTGTTACCACTCTCGATGATGAAACATTCCCAAATCACCTAGAGAGACAGACAGATAAGTTGTTGTCTGGAGCTGGGGTGGAGACTGACTTACAAATGTTACCATGTAAGGATATTTTTAGGGTGGTAAAACTGGATTGGGGTGATGGTCAAGCAACTCTACCATTTACTAAAATTCACTGAGCTACATACAAGTTTATACCATGCTAAAGTTTGTGAAATTTCAAGTAACACCTGTAGACTAGATAAGGTTACTGCTATTTTCCTGATTTTGATAATTATACTGTTATTAAATAAGAAAATGTTCTTGATTTTAGGAAATAAATACCTCACATGGCAAGGGGGTAAAAGGAGTACCATGCCTGCTATCAGCAAGGGATTTCAGAAGAAAAATAGGAGAAAACTCAAAATGTTAGCATTTGAAAAATCTGATTGACAGGTATTTATTTGAGAATTATTCGTTATTCTTGCAACTTTTTTGGAACTGTGCCAAAATTTTTTAAATAATACAAATGTGTTAAGGGAGATGACAACGTTTGGGACTGGTAAATGGCAATGTTAGAACACCCCCAACATAATGAATTTAATTAGTTTCACTGAGACATGTGAGGATATGAATGGCAAAGGTTTTATTTCATTATAGGCACACACAAAAAAAAACCACCATAAAAACCCACTGAAAACAATACAGGGTAGTGGGCTATCATGTTCTTCCTTTTATTTTCTACCAGTTCCAAAGTTAAGGGGAAAAAATGGATAGAAAGCCTACAAGAAGCTGTAAGAGAGAATCGAGGGAAATTCCCTTTTATGAAAAGCAGTGATAACATTTGAAGATCATTGAGAGATTACAACACACAGAATGTGTTTACAAAATATTCAAAAACTTTTACTCCAAAAGCTACAATTTTTTTTCATGTATCATATGAACGCTACAAATTAAGTACAACTAATGGCGAAAAAGGAACTTAATGACAAAATAACAATTTATAAACTATCAAGGGCTCATGAGGGAGGGGTGAACAGGGAGGGAGGGGAAAAATGAGGACCTAATTTGGGGGGGGGGGGTTAAGTGGAGAGGAAATGTTTTGAGAATGATGAGGCCAATGAATGTACAAATGTGCTTTACACAATTGATGTGTGTATGAATTGTGATAAGTTGTATGAGCCCCTAATAAAATGATTAAAAAAAACAAAACTTGTAGACAGTTGATCATAACAGTATTTTTCCAACAAAGACTTACAGATAGTTCCCCAAAGCCCCTTATATTCCCAAAAGAGTAAATTCCTTCTGCTATCATACTGCTATATAGAATTTGAAATAACTTCTTTTGAATTCACTATTATGTTACCAAACTAACTTGAGCGGTTAAATAAACATAAGTCATTAAAAAAAAAAAAAAAGGAACTTAATCCAAAATTCTGAAGCACATATGTCTCACTCAATTTTTAAATGGATTAGAATTAGCATAAAAACACATATTTTTAAAAATAAATTCAGATCAACACCGTGGAATAAAAAGTTAATGCTACTTAAAAAAAAAAACTTAGTCAAAACCATTATTAATCCTATGCACAATAGGTAAATAAAAAGAATCTTCCTACAAGTCTTTTGGTATCAACCCTCACTTCATCCCCTCCTACCCCTCAAAAAAAAGAAAACACTTTGATGATCATAAAGAAATTCTTGGTAATGCTATGATGATGAATTAATAAAATACCAACACTTCAAAATTTAGTGTTACTGGTTACAAGAGCTGCTATCATGATTTCATTCATTTCAAATAACCTGGAGTAGATACATGAATATTCTCATTTATGCAAAAATTATCCAATAGAACACATTAAGTGGTTGGGAGACTAGCCTTAAAATGAAACCCAATGGCTGTTTTCACTGTATCACAATACCTTTCTCTTAATAATGTATTAGTAAATAAGGATTAATTTTAACTTTAAAAGTCTATTAAGAATACACAAGAAAAAATATTAGTGTCAGAGTTAAGTTCTTATACTTCATTAAAAATTCTCTAAAACCACTATGGGCCAATATAGATTAAGCACTTGCTATGTTACTTAGGTCTTGCACTAAGAACTTTAATAAATATTTTTTAAAAAGAACTTTAATATATTTTCCTCAATTACTTCCCAAACCCAATAAACCATAAAGTGGATACCATTATAATCATCATTGTATAGATGGAGAAAAAAAATTTTTTTAAGAGATACTAATTAACTTGAACCGGGAGGGGCTGGAACTGAAGACCAAATAAATGGCTTTCTAAACCGCGGGATGATTTTGGAAATAAGCTTTTAAAAATGAAAAAAGCCTCGAGACAATGTTGTAACTTTGTACACTACTGACAACTACCTAATACACATTACGTCACATTATAGCGGTCCGGTGCAAGAGCAGATAGGAGTCCAATCAATCAGTCAATCAATCAATCTCT